GATAACTTGCAGGACCTATTATTCCTATTGAATAACTATTCAGTAACTAGATTATCTATATCTATATTCATCTTATTACAAGCTTCATTTTGACCTATTGATTATTATTATATGATTTACTGTTCATAAGTTATACTCAGTTTATTGATTATTGTCTCCCACGCTCCCAGTCACATTTGGCTTGGTTTTGTACAAATATTATTTTTTATTTTATGGGTGATGTGGTCTGGAATATAAACAAAATATGCTTGAAATAAACGATTCATATTGCCGAGGCTGCTATTGGTGTTCTGGACTCAAGTGGACGTGCTAGGCGGATTAAGGACCAATAAAGAGGCGGGATTACTCATACTGATTGAACGTCCTTGATTGTCACCGTGTTAAGGTCGAAGAAGTTGTATTCTATTGGCGGATAATTCACGCGAGTTACGTCCTTGTTTAATTTGTAAGGTCATAACAAATTAGCGACAACCTTGAGCAAGTCATACTAATTGGCTACAACCTTGATCAGGACATAACAATTGGAGACGGCTAGGTCAAGACACAACATTAACAAAACTTAACTGTGAGGTTCGTTTTAAAAATAGGTCAATCACAACGAACATAGTTTAGAACATGGTTCAGTTTCTTATAATTTACACTAAATATTCCAGTAGTAATAAATGTCGTAAAAGCGGTGGGTAATTGTCTGGTAATCGACACGATTTAACTGCATCAGTCACGGTTTCTCACCAGAGCTCCAAAAAATTCCCTCTTGAATCTTCGAGAAGCCATGATCAGTTGAGTTCAAGCGTGTCATATGTGAGGCAGTTACTAACAGAATACAATGGAAGATGGTCGCGTGATATCGTAAATTGAGTGAAGTTGGTTGCTGGCCCATTGGTCTAGAGGTAAAGCGTTCGAGAGCAACATCGAAGGTCTTGGGCTTAAATCCCACGTGCAGGGTCGTGGGGGCGCATTGCTGCGGAGTCCCACATAAGGACAAAGCGACCGTCCAGTGCTTTTAGTTTCTCAATAGTGGTCTAACACTGATCGGTTCATGATTTCAATGAAATCCAACGATCTCCATAACCCCAAACTGAAAATTATGATAATCAGTTTTACTGATTGACTGATACGCTGAATGTTTTAAATAAAAATAGATATCAACTAATTTGTAATCACAACATAAAATAGAATTGAACAAAGTAGCCCAAAAATGTCAAGATGTTGATGGACGTTTGTTACATCCGACTTTATGACTTGTTTTAATCGAAGCGTGAATAGTATTTCCAGTTAATATCGTCATTTCATTTTATTTGTGGATTGAAGAAGAGTGTACCTGAGAAGTTTATTAACATCTTAAAGGCCCTATATACAAACACCTCAGACAGAGTGAGGGCATACAACCACCTCTCTCCACTGTTTCACTTAAGCAGTGGAGTTAGACAGGGTTGCCCAATCTCACCATTCCTCTTTAACTTTGCCATCGATGACATTCTGGAAACAGCTCTGATGGATGTAAGTAATGGTGGTGTGAATCTGTTGTCTGGAGAAAGACTTCTCGACCTTAAGTATGCGGATGGTATTGTCTTACTGTGCGATAATGCCCATGCTATGCAATCCGCACTTAATCAGTCGGCAATCAGTGTCTATAGGTACGGTGTGTGCTTTGCTCCGTCGAAGCGAAAAATACTTCTACGAGACTGGCAGGATTCTAATCCTGTACTCACCATGGGTGGTGAGTAGATTGAAGAAGTCGAGAAGTTCTTGTATCTAGGTAGCTGCATAAGTGCTGGTGGTGGCATTAGTGATGAGATCGATTCACGTATAGTGATAGCCAGAGCGACTTATGCCAATCTGGGCCATCTTTGGCGCCTTCGTGATGTTAGTCTGGCTGTAAAAGGTCGGATCTACAACGCGTCGGTGAGAGCAGTTTCGCTTTACGCTTGTGAAACCTGACCTCTGTGTTTGATTGTCGTTGTCTCTGAAGGATTGCTGACATCCAGTGGCAACACCATGTTAGTAATGCAGAGGTTCAGCATCGCGTGTTCGGGCTAAGTGACGATAATCCAATAGGTGTCACCATCTTGAAACATCAACTTTGGTGGCTTGGACATGTTCTACGAATGTCATCCCAGAGAATTCCTTGTCGTGCATTACTTGCCGACGCTGAGACTGGTTGGAAAAAGCGGAGAAGTGGTCAGTGTATAACATGGTGTCGTGGTATAAAAGAAAGCTGCAAAGGGTTGGCTTCTGTTGGTCCTTCACGAACCCCTGGCTGGAGTCTGAGGGATGTTACAACACAGTTGCTAGAGACGCTATCATATATGGCTCAGAATAGAAGTCAGAGGCGATCCTGCTGCAACCTTCTTCTACTTTCTTCATAAAGAGTGGTTACAACGCCTTTAACTAAAAGAGTTCTGGTTGTAGATTTATGTTTCCCCCATAATTATTCTCACTGTTACACTATCATACACTAATCTGTGGTTGTTATTGTTCTTTTTTCTTATATGCACCTTAGCCTCTTTTTTATTTTCCCATTCTAATTGTTTTGTGCGGCACATATATCTGGTGCCCTCCTCTAACAATATTTATGTGTTCAAATAAATAAATAACTTGTTAACACCATTTGTTCTACTGGGATCGCACTGTTAACCTGTTTGCAAGACTATCAAACTATTCACAAAAAATTTGTCCACATAATCTACCTAAAATGAAAGTAATCAAACCAAGTTTTAACTTAATGTTATGTGTGCCAAACGCTCCAACGAACATCAGCGGTAGGAAATCAAGTTCACAGCCAGTAGAACAAGCAATTTGAATGGGTCATAGGACTGAACTTAACATAGCTTTTTAAACGTCAAAAGTGAATCCCTAGGTTTTTAGAAGTCTTTGTCGCGAAGAAAAATCTTTATGTAGACATAAACAAGTGGTTGTAACATTAGATCTACTTTGGTAATTTTCAAAGCATTTTATGGTCTAGGGTAGTATACCAACTCCCTATGCTTTCCGTGTCGAATTATTTTCTTTTCTCTTTCATTCCCAATTATCCCCTTGAACCTTCATCAGTTTTCATATATAAAAGCCTTGAAAATTATGTGATCAGACTGTTATAAACGTATGTAAATACATGACATTTCTGTCTTCCTATTGATATATCGACAATTCGTAAGTGACTAATTGCTTTATATTATAAGTGAACATTAAGTTTCGTACTTAGAGCGTTAAAAGTTTAAATTAATCAAATGTTTATATTTGCAACAGAATCATTATTTAGAATAGGATTCCCATGAACATTCTAGGTTGGTAGTGAGTTAAACCGATAACAAGGAAGAGAAATAATAATCACCAAAAGCACAAAGGTATACAAATACTATAAAAACATACCGCATTGAATATTTCAAATCTTTACCAACACTCAATCACTTCTCCGTTACGACCGGTCACGGAACTTATAATTTTAAAGTTACTGGATCTCAAATTATTACGTTTTCATACACCTAACAGTGTAGTGAAACTGTCTATGAGTACCAATCAGAAAAGGAGTGGACGAGAGATGGAATGTTCCACTTCTTGCCTAACACGAGTAACACACAAAATACTGTGTTGCGAACCTATTTAATGACCTAAAATAATAAAGAAATTTTTTAATTTTTTTGTATAGGAAAAGTCCCAGCGACCATATTAAACTGGTGTTTTAATTCACTTTTATCCTGCATAACAAATCACTAGACAAAGAAAACATACTTGGCCATTAATAAATACGTTCTCAATTGGTAAGAATGATCGTCTATTGTGGCATACTTCAGGAGTGTCAACAAGTATAACAGCCGAAGGCTCTTTTCTTGCGTCGACATACACTAATTGAGTTTATTTATTTATTTAAACAAATATTGGTACAAAGAGGCACCAGATATATATGCGCCACACAAATCTCATTTAACTTGTGTGAGGGCTGTGATACTGCCCAGGTGCCCAAACTGAAGCAGGTGGTTTTTTTTAGGGGACCACACCCGGAGCCTTTGACCTAAAGGTCTGATCCACAAGGCAGTGGAGCATCGTGAGGAGATGCAGTCCCGTGGTAGCCGGTGACCAACGATTGATTCATACGCCATTTGTTCCCTCAGGATACTGGAGCCCATGTGCACCATTTCTTTGGAATCAGGGTTTTCCAACTGCCCCAGGGTGAACTTTCCGTGTCCACCAACCCAGTGAAAGCAACGGACATTCGTTTTTCGTTCTCTCAATTTCACAAACAACACACTGGTGCGAGAAGTCAGTGAGTAGGACTTCCCTGGCAGAGACTATATACGCGTGGCCATGTGAGAGCATTTCGAGAGCGTACTCTCCCCACTCTCGGCCGTACCAGGGCATTTGGGGGCCAACTACCGAAAAATCGAGTAATGGAATTGTTTCATGATATTCCAAAAAATTAAAGAGAAATCTTTTTTCAAGAAATGTTTTATAAATTCCATGTCAGGAAACTGATACTCTGCAGACAAACGCCTTATATCCATGTAACTAAATATAGTTAGGATGTACTGAAAATGGATGAGAATGAACAGGTTTATGAATCACTACATATAACTTCCATACTAGCCCGGAACTTCCCGAGTTATCAACACTTAACATAAATCGTTTGAGTTATCAACTTCATAAACGACATGTACGTTCTACTCAAATCTATTTGCGTTAGAATGACTGACATAAATATAACCTGAACAACTTCACAATTCAAGGTTCTCTTAAACTCATTAACGAATACAAATCCCTTACATCATCACTATGACTAGAAAACTATTCGAGGAATCCGCACGTTTTCTCCTTAGAATTATTCTAAGCCCACTCTGAAATGACCAATAATGTTTGATATGAGACAACAGAGACAGTAAACACATGGAGAATAACGACCGAATATTTATGAATTTATGTATTTAAACCATTTCTAAAGATGAGGTACAAACATAGATGACTTCCCAAGTACATTTTATCATCAACTGATATCAAAGTTCGCTACATCACTCTGAAGAGGTATATGAAGGCAGTTGATCAAATGAAGTACCAAGCTCTCGGTTTCGTTTTATAGCATACAAAGAATAGAAATCTAGATGCTCTTTAAGGAGTTAAGCGACAGACTGATTATACAAATACCCACTAGTGATGTATTTTCAAACCTATATATATTCTAATAATAAATGAACTAATCAATAATATGTACCCCACCACATTTTATGCAGGATTTATTCACCCAGAACTCGAGTATTCTGTAAGAATAATCTCTTCATCCTTAAAGCAGATAGAAACTGTTGAAAACGTTAGAGGAACCACAACCAAACTGGCTTTCAGAATATCGTGTTTACTGTTTTACGAGAGACTAGATATGCAAAACCTGTTTAGCCTATCACACGGAAGGACTAGAGGTCAAATAATCAGTCGATGAGCTACTGCATGAATTCGTATTTGACATGATTTTGTTTTTTTTCTCAATTTTTGGAACACGAGTGCGCTCACAAGCCCGTAGTGACGTGCGCACCATAGGACTACTGATATTCCTATCGAATCATCAACAAATGGTTTCAGCCCCTTCTGTAGACTAATTCCAAGAAAGGTTATGCTGAGAAAAGCCTATCAACTGAGGAAGTCTTACCAGCCCTTTATTATCTCCAAATGGAAACTACGGAGCCCAATGTAGATTGCTTTTAGGGTTGGTGAATATCTGTAGCCCAGCTGAAGCGCTTATCCATTGTTCAAAACGCCGTCCGTTAGTGACAAGGGTTCGAAAATGTTGCGGGGTTTATTTGACTGTAAAAGGCCTGGAGAACAACTGATGTCGCAAGTTGACAGTATTCTATATGCCCGAAACGGTGCTAAAAACATAAACAATGATGTTCACCAGCTCCATTATTCACCGGGATATATATCTGCCCTTGCATGTAGTTTTATCTGGACATTGTAAATTTGAGTTGGATAAGAGGCTGAGGTCTAAGTTCATTATTAAACACTATAACGGCGGCAAAAATGGAAACAGTTCATCATAGTCATTATTGCCTGAAATATTACTCCCTTTAAGAAGTAACGTCACTAATGCAGACACGTTAACTCCATCTAAGCAACAGTGTGGCATAAGATTTTACGAAGTCACAGATAACCTATAACTATGTACAAGTTTATGGGATGCTAGGTGTAGTGGAATTACTGACTGAGGACGATTTTACATTTAAATGAATTCTAGCTCTTAAGCGCCGAATCATGTGACCATCACAAAAAATGCGCAACTGGTTTCTTTGCTAGTAATACATAAAAGACAATTATAATTACCTGTTGTTCATGTCATCAAAATTAAAGGATACAACTTGCAAAAGCAAAACCGAATGCCGCTAGTGCAATCTTGGATACTTTCCTGTTAGTTGCTTGAACAATGACTGACCTTCTCACATTTGATTTCTCAGTATGTTTGATAAAATGCCGCAAAACATCGTCTGCCTTATCCTTACTCATATTTAAGTAACGCAAGCCTCAAATATCCCTCTGCTTACAAATGATTCGAATGGATCAAACTGTTTTGGAAGGAGTGGAAGAGGCTTTCGCTTAACAGGCTTCTATATATAGTAGCACTGGATCACCAATACATCCATGCAGTAACCTAGGTATATTAACGTTAACAGAGGAAAGAGAAATTGGTAAATCATAGTAAGATATTATCCTTAGTGTTTAAGAGTATGTTTCGTTTCCTCTTAAAGGACTCCTGGGAAGTCGTTTGGGCTAGCTCAATTGGCAGCGAATTCCGGCATTTAACTACTCTCAGAGAGTAGAAGTTGTGTCTACAGTCCGTTCTGCTGCGCTGTGTCTCTAGCTTCTGGGTGTTACCCCCTATATTTGTGTTGGTATTAAGCTTAAGTAGGTGTTCAAGGGGACGCTGAGAAGTATTTAGGATGTTATAAACCATTAGAAGGTCATTTCTAAGACGCCTGTACTCTAATGAGGGAAGTTTAAGTCATTGGAGGCGCTCTTTATAAGTCTTTAATTTGAGTCCTCAAACTGATTTCGCTGCTCGCCGTTGGATACGTTCCAGATTGTCCTCATCCTTTTAGAGTGAAGAAGGAAATACTATGTTTTCGTACTCTAAATGTTTGTTAATCGAACAGAAAATCTTTCACCTAACAAGCTACCGTGTGGGAACTGACGTTTAGTAAACGAAGAAAGATCAATTATTGGTAAATTATTATGAAATACTATCGTAGGTCTTTGAAAATATATCACTTCCAAAAATTGATTACACATGAGGAGAGGAAGGTGTATTCACAGTCCAGTTTGCTGTATCGTTTATCTAGTATTTGAATGTTTTCATGTGAAGATGCCACAGGAAGTCAGGAGGAGGTGCATCTATTCATCGTTTTCCCAAAAAGTCTGGAATTCTAAATTCCTGATCTTCATCCCATTGAGCTAGTGGGGTATGGAAACTCTAACCGATGTGAATACTTACAGTTTCTACGTTGTCACTGGCTGAGTGAATGTCTCTACTCCCCACAATTAGCGTCGGAGATCCTTTAATTATTAACATTACGTCATCTTTTCAATGAAGTACCATGGTTATTTTAAATTTCTATTTCAAATAAACACATCACTCACTAAACTAACGAATGCAAATCAACTGTGATCGACTACAAAAATGTCTTATTATTGTGGATGGTGTCGAGTCCCGATTGACTATGATCACCACTACGATAAGATTACGTGCCAGAAAACTACTTGGATCCCTCGGTAGGCCAAAAACCATAAGGCTGTAATTAGTCCAGACAAGATATATTTATTGGCGATCTCGTGGTATTGAAAGAATACCGAGACGTGCCAAAGAGTACAGGCAAAAAGGCAGAGCGTAAGAAAGTTCGAACGAACAAGATGGACGACGGAACGAAAAGTGATTTTGATAGAGTTAAACAAAACGAGCACAATAAAACAATCACTGATAAATTGGTGGAGGAGGAACAACGATATATAGATGTACGTATTGGAAGCGTCTATCAGGTGACGGAAACTTTCCAAGAGGGCTGACTGTATGTCGTTGGCATTGCATGCAGTTTCGTGCCCATCTTTTTACATTCGAGTAAATTTTTAGTCAGACAAAATGCTTTGTGATTAGTTTTACTGTAGCTCAGATCCCAGGACGTGAAGGTGAGTGTAGTTGTTGAAATACACGTCATCAACAGGCTTTAAGGACAAAAAGGAGGTTGTTAGCAGTTGAAACATCGCAGATGGTAGAGTAATCGGAATTTATACAGGTATGAGAACCAAGTTAGACTTCTGTTTTTAGGTTTTTAAATCTGTGTCGTCTACTTGTAATTTAGCTATAGGTTCTAGGCTGATATCTTAATTTTGTGTTGGTGTATTGGTGTCCTTTCGGAATAAAGCATTAGCTATGATATTAGAGTGCCCTTTGGTGAACTGAATGTCGACTGTAAATGTGAGATGTAATCCAATTGTCGCACTTCATGTGATGAATGTCGACCATATGACGTATTAAGGGTGTAGATGACGAGTCGCGATTGACTATGATCACCACTACGATAAGATTACGTGCCAGAAAACTACTTGGATCCCTCGGTAGGCCAAAAACCATAAGGCTGTAATTAGTCCAGACAAGATATATTTATTGGCGATCTCGTGGTATTGAAAGAATACCGAGACGTGCCAAAGAGTACAGGCAAAAAGGCAGAGCGTAAGAAAGTTCGAACGAACAAGATGGACGACGGAACGAAAAGTTATTTTGATAGAGTTAAACAAAACGAGTACAATAAAACAATCACTGATAAATTGGTGGAGGAGGAACAACGATATATAGATGTACGTATTGGAAGCGTCTATCAGGTGACGGAAACTTTCCAAGAGGGCTGACTGTATGTCGTTGGCATTGCATGCAGTTTCGTGCCCATCTTTTTACATTCGAGTAAATTTTTAGTCAGACAAAATGCTTTGTGATTAGTTTTACTGTAGCTCAGATCCCAGGACGTGAAGGTGAGTGTAGTTGTTGAAATACACGTCATCAACAGGCTTTAAGGACAAAAAGGAGGTTGTTAGCAGTTGAAACATCGCAGATGGTAGAGTAATCGGAATTTATACAGGTATGAGAACCAAGTTAGACTTCTGTTTTTAGGTTTTTAAATCTGTGTCGTCTACTTGTAATTTAGCTATAGGTTCTAGGCTGATATCTTAATTTTGTGTTGGTGTATTGGTGTCCTTTCGGAATAAAGCATTAGCTATGATATTAGAGTGCCCTTTGGTGAACTGAATGTCGACTGTAAATGTGAGATGTAATCCAATTGTCGCACTTCATGTGATGAATGTCGACCATATGACGTATTAAGGGTGTAGATGACGAGTCGCGATTGACTATGATCACCACTACGATAAGATTACGTGCCAGAAAACTACTTGGATCCCTCGGTAGGCCAAAAACCATAAGGCTGTAATTAGTCCAGACAAGGTATATTTATTGGCGATCTCGTGGTATTGAAAGAATACCGAGACGTGCCAAAGAGTACAGGCAAAAAGGCAGAGCGTAAGAAAGTTCGAACGAACAAGATGGACGACGGAACGAAAAGTGATTTTGATAGAGTTAAACAAAACGAGTACAATAAAACAATCACTGATAAGTTGTTTGTAATGATTGTTTCCATTATAACAATCGAATTCTCCTCGAGAAAAGTAGGTAACTACAAGGGGATAACATGGGTTTATAATTTGTCATTATCGTAAATTTGCCTCCCTATAATAGGGAACTTGAATGTTTTAATGTCAAATAGATCCCTGATAATTCTCTCTCGAAAGTGATATAGCGTGCTTGTGCAGGTGAAAGATGTTTAGGAAAATGCTGTAAGTGTAATGATGTCATTGCTTCGTTGTTGAAGTACTACTCATTTGTTTTTTAGGATGCATCGGTGCACATAATTAGGTGTGTTGTAGGGCCAGGCTTCATACGTTGCAACATAGTAGCATTTGCCATCATAGACTTTACATTATCAAAAGCAGGTTTTACGTCGAGTGATGAAGTGAGAATTTCGTATCCATTTCTTCTTGATCCATCCTCAAAAGATCAGTTAGATGTTGTCATGTTGCTGCACAACTGGGCAAGAAACGACGGTAAAAAAAATTGTACATAGCGAGAAAAAGGAGATTTTATTAACTTGAGTTCCAAATAATTAATGATTGCTTCAAACTTCTGAAGTGGCTTGATACCACGTTAGTCGATATAGTGTCCCAGAAACTCCAAGGCAAGTATACACTTTGAAGGATTAGCCACAATCCCATAACTCTTGAAGCGGTCAAAAAGAGTGCGTAAATGCTGTAGAACACCAACGTTGATGGTCTATGTCGAATGATTGGAGGCCTACTCGAGTTAGACGGGGACGGTGTAACGAATAAGCTAACTTCGAAGTCACACCTTGCGACCAGCACCTTACGTGGATTGCCCCATCGACGTATCAAGGGACCAGGGATGCTCTGGAGACTGTACAACACAAAGGACGTTATTACAGGAATATACTAGTTAAAGGAGATACAAGCGAGAGTAGAACCACTGCCGCATGGGCCAGTTCATGGCGTATAATTAACTGATGCGCTTTGATTGTCCTTGACAGGGGTCGATGATCTGTTCAATATTTAGTGAACCAACTACCGGATGATTTGACTAGGGTTCAGTGACATTTCACTGGCCCTACAATGCTTTGCATGTTCTTCTGTGGAACAGCTAGAGACCAAAACACCGTCGATATATATAACTGCGAAGTCCAGACCCTTTACGATTTCATCCATGAGTCTTTGAAACGTTTGAGCATCATTTTTAAGTTCAAATGTTCTCAAGAATTCAAATAAACCAAAGGATGAAATCATAGCTTTTTTCAGCATCTTCTGATGTCATTGGGATTCCATGATATACTCTCATGAAGTCCAGCTTGGGAAAAACCCGTTTTCTGTGTAAATTCGAAGAGAAATCATGTGTCGGGGTGTATATTACCAAGCTCAAAGCTAGTGGTATTAAGATTACTTCTGCCGATGTACATGTTATTAATATCTCCAAACAGTTTATCTGTTTCACAGCCTCTTAAATCGCATGGAATTTATTTAATCTACAAGGATACGGACTCTTTTTGATTCTGAATATACTGATTGAATTTTCATACATTCCACGCCCTTCGAGCAATGTAAGGCTAAATATCTGAATAACTTACTTTCAGAAGAATTGGTGTGTTAAGAGATGAAGGCGTCTACTAATCTAAGGCCCTATAACTTAGTCACACACTATAACTTAGTCATACTCACTGACTAGGAAAAAAGATATTGACACAGCTACCATATTCCTTCCTCAGCGAAATATTAACTGTATGAATAGTAAACAATTAGTGGCTAATGTTGCCAAGGATGGTATTGACAACAGCTTTTAAATTGACATCATCGTGAAAATGCAGCAAATTTCTCTTTGAACTAACTGACTCTATGGTACC